AGTGAGGGGAGGGTTGAGTAATGGGAGAAGAGTAAAGCAATGGAGAGGAAAGTGTATCTGGAGCAAAGTGACACATCTGACCAAACATCTGTTCACTGCTCCAGGAAGTAACGTGACCACTGACCTGTTTCATTTTGACACTCAAGACGTCTCAGAAAGAGGTGACAACTCTCAACTGCTGAGTCATTAACAGTCAATTTACTGATCAAGTCTGCAGTTATAAATCTTTATAAATCAGTAATAATCACAAGTGTTTGACTTAGCAATTCATCTTTAAGTATAAATGTTAATAATAATAAAGTATTGTATAATCGTGAACGTTAATATGTTACTAATAAGATTTTGGTCTGGATGGTCTTCCAACTTTTCCAGGAGGACAAAGGTCAATTGGATTAAAAAGACAAAGAAAGTAACGAGCTGAAGGAGGATAAACAGCCAGAAATGATCCACAACCTGGCAACCCAAATGTTTTCCTTATTAATGACCTATTAGTGATCTATAAAGTGCCTAGTGTATTAATTTTAGAGAACAATTCACAGATGACCAATATGGGTAATGAAAATTGACCTTTTCTATTTGGGTTGTCACAGATTTTACACAGATGTGACTGTAAATGTTCTCAAAAGGCTGCTTTTAAATAAATAAATTGTTAAAAGCAAAACAAATAACTTCATTAAAGCATATTTATGGTAAATATTCTTATCGATTCTATTCCACATTGCTAAAAGAGCTACTTCTTCTCTCTTACTCTGTGCTGTTTGCCACAGTCTTATAAATCACATCGCCCTCTGCTGGACAAACTCTACAGTGACAACAATATGTCACTACAGGCATCTTTTATATCGGCACTTATCGGATAAGATACATGCCGATATTGATATCAATATGTCTGTGATAAGCCAATTTCAGTAGATAATGTACATGATTTATTAACCATTACTAATTACAACTCCTGAATCCTTTTATGGTGTCTACCTTTATAATCTGTACAACACATTTTCTTCTTAGATTCTCAATCCAACTTGGACAATCTGAGAACAACATCAGAGACAGTGAATCCTTCTTTCAAGTGAGAGATAAAAGTGACACATTTCCGTATAGAAATCAATTCACAAGCTATAACACAGCCCCTCTCTCAGTTTAATACACTCAGGGTTACTTTGTCTTGTGTGACCAGCAGCTTATGGAGGCTCTTATCTACTTGTGCTACTGTGACAATATGTAAACACACCATTATCCCACCAGAGTGACTGTTATTCAGCAAATGTAACATTGACTCACTATAAGTAAATAAAACGTGATATAAGTGTATTTGTGGCCGTGTTACATTCTGGTCTGTTGAGGCTTCATTCGGAGGAGAAACTTGTATTTGTGGCTCTTCTGAGATCTATTCTTTCTGCCTGTATGATTATATTTGTTTAATTATAATAAAGTTATTTATTTCTTAACTCTGAAACAGAAATCCAGTGTTGAACAGCTACTAATGGTCCACTGCTGCTGTTTCTAAGGTCAAAATTGAATTTATTACAGATTACTTACAGGTTGTAACACAACATGGACCCAAGGTGCTCAGAAAAAGGAACATTTTAACATCTATGTCAATTAAAAGCTCCAAACCAGCTTAGAATAGACTTTGTGGTCTTGAAAGTGACGTGACAACCACATTATTCTAGACGTGGTACGTACACATTGCTCCACGTATCTCAGCCAACTCTTAAATAAAACCTGTGATTGTGATTCTTTTTATTCGGTTTCTGATCTGTGATGAACAAATGTTCAGTGAATATCCACCCACACGCAGAATAATCAGCACACGGGATTGTGAGTAGGTCAGATGGTGTCGTCCACTCCTTCGTATCAGAGTGATGAAAACGGATTAAAAAAAGACTGTTGCCTGGCAACGTGAAATCACAGCAAAGGAAGTGACGGGGGATGTTTGGGGCGACGCGAGGGAGTGAGTCGTGGAAAGAGGAAGAGGAGAAGGGAGGGAAATGTTGTGAAAATATTGATCTAGGATTGATTATCGTTTATGATCTCAGTCAGATTTCTTTCCAGCTCCTCCTCCGCAGCCGGGATGAGATATTTTTCTCAAAGTGCCCAACAGGGTCAGAGGCAGTAGAGTGTGTGGGAGGGAAGAACTCACAAGGTGTAAAAGCTGTATAGTAGTATAGTATAGTATAGTAATCCAAATGCTGAGCATGAATCACTGCACGAGTGGATGGATATTTATAAGAGGAAGGCAGCAGCTGCTTCCACTGTAAGTTTAGGTCATTTTTTACTGTTACTGCACAAACTGGAGACACTACATCCCCGAGCTCACACTCAACAACAATCATACTAATCCAGGTTTTCTAGAAATCTACTCATATACCTCTGTGTGTGTGTGTGTGTGTGTGTGTGTGTGTGTGTGTGTTTGTGCTCACAATCATTTCAACTACTGGATTCTGTCCAACTGTGAATTTCTGGGAGAATGAAAATCTGTCTGCAACCTGACCAGCTTATATGTGCCAGCTGTGAGGGGGGTGGAGGACGACAGAGGGCAACCAGGAGACTAAATACTGGACAAATATGACGATGGGAACAAAAAAAAAAGAAGATAAATAGTACAGAGTGAACAGACAAGGGTGGATACTTCTAGTCCACCTCACCACAATAATGACTCATCAGTAATAAGGATTTAATATAATATACAATGTAATGATAATAATGTCTCATTCTGAGGCATCATGATGACCCAGAGGTTTGAGGTTTTGCACGATGAACACTTTTACTTTTGATTTAAGTACATTTTGACTGTTAATACATCTGAATACTATTACATAAGTATCATCATGAATGCAGGATTTGTAATAAGAGGTTTTTTTCTATTATGGTATTACTACTTTTACATTTTAGTAAATGCTCTCAGTTTATTTCACACATCGACTGTCATGTGCAAAGTTGAGAATATGAATGCAGGGTGAGGAACTCTACATTAGGTCTCTAAAACGAATGCAGCTCTGTAACAAAGTTTATAATGTTCAGTGCTGCTGATTGGTTAGTTATTTTGGTAGTTGTCTGTGGTGTTGTTCAGTTGTATTGTTATTTCTGAGAGGTGTTTCTTGTATTTAGTCTTTGCTTTAAATAAGAGTGGATTAACACCCATCAGTATAGTGCTATCCAATTCAACAACGCCACCAACTGCAGCTTTAAAAATGACCTCAAAACTAAATCCAAACCTCCTTGAAACAGTTTCAGCAAAGACTGAACATTATAACCTTCATGAAGGTAGGATGTATTGCAGCTGTTGTATAGAATAAATACAGTATATACATATAAAACCATTAGTGCTCATGTGTTGTAATAAAGTATTTCCTATTACAGCTATTGATGCATTTTCAGCTTGACTAAAGACTAGATATCTGCTGCTTGATGGACACTATTTTAAATCTGTTGACCAACCGGTTGGCTGTATCATCCAAGCACACTCAGCACGTGCAAATACACCTCTACTGTCATCAGATACTATAGAGGAAGAGGAGGAGGAGGAGGAGGAGGAGAAAACGGTCATCAGAGACGCGACCTCCCCTCCAGGCTCATGTGGCAGCTGTGTTTTTGAAGCTGAACAATGGTCAGGAAGGGTTCACTGAAGGCAGCAGGCTGTAATCGTGAGTCGTGCTGAACAATTCAGTCCATCAGTCGACCTAAATGATCCATAATCGGTAATAATTCTGCATAATAACTCTGCAAGGCATCGGCGGAGGAGAGGATGGAGAGGGAGGAGAGGGAGGATGCTGCCTTTTGAGTACCATGTTGGCTGCTCGCCTCTAGTGACGCCGGCCTGCTCCACATACGCGTCTAAAAATGAAACCGACCCCCCCTCCGCCCTCCTCCGCCTGTCAGTCTGCTGATCACACCACTGTGGTGGTATGGCTGCCCTCTGAGCATCTCGGGTTTATAAAACTGACAGACAAATGACGGAAGAAGAAAAAAAAAGGGTCAAATGTGAGATGTGAAACGTAAATATTGCTGCTGCAGCCTCGGTCGCCCAGTGCGAGGTTTTATTCCGACAACGCACCATGATGACAATGTGTTCTCAACAGCGCTTAAATAAAACAGCACACAAACGCATAAAAAGGATGTCTCTTACCTCCGCGCTATCCTCTATTGGCCATTATAGCATGGATGATGATGAGGAGGAGGAGGAGGAGGCGCAGGTGCAGGGATGCAGAGCGACGCCCAGGGAGACACAAACATGAAGCAATCATTGGATTGATCCTCAATAAATTATTGGCTCAGTCAATAAAATCCAGAAACCCGCGCTCACCTGTTTTAACCGGGATCCGGCTTTTGTACCTGATGTTGTTCGTCATGTTGACCGCTCTCCTCCCTCGATTTTACCGAAGCGACGGCTCACTGAAAGCGGCCCCCCTCGCCTCTGCCTCTCCTCCAAGCCCCGGACAGACAGCAGGAGGGCGGGCCTAGCTGACAGATGAAAGCTCCTCCTCCTCTTCCTCCTCCTCTTCCTCCTCACAGCCAGTCACACGGCAGTTATCTACAAGCAGGAGTCTATACAGGATGCCATGAGGGGGGTTAGGGTCCAAAACAACCTCACTGGCATCAATGGAGCTTTAACAGTCTCCAATATGGAGTCAGACAACGAGCAGTTGTTTGTATTTTTAATGTTTCTATTTTACTTTTTAACATCCAGAAGAACACAGAAGATTAAAGACATCTTGAATATCCCTCAAACTTGAAATGTGTAGAGTGCAAACTGAAGCTCTTACTTATAAATTAATGTGTACAATTAATGATAAATACTTTAGGAAGGATCTTATGAACAAGTCACAGTGAGCATGTGTCACACTGGTCCATTATCTACTGTTTACTTTCAATAAATGGCAATAAATCGTTTTAATGGAGCTTTTTAATGTTGCAGTTGTGTTAATGTTATAGCTCGATCCTCCAGTCTGTGGAGGACAACATAAAGTCATTACAAAGTAAACCCCAGAATCAACAAATTTCTCTAAACAAATTTTATTTCAGAGAGAAATACAACAAAAACAATGTTGACTAAAAACAAGTCTTTACTGACTTATGGTTAAGAAATAATAATAAGGTTTGTCTTGATAAGTTCAACAGACACATTTGCATATGGGAGCAAAAGACAGAGATACAAAATAATGCCACATGAATGACAGCACATTTAAAAGAAGAGTAGTGAAAGAAAATTAAAAGTTTAGTCTGCTGCTCACAGAAGGCCGGCGGGAGTTTGAACAAATAACAATTAAATATTATAGTATTTGATTTTTAAATGAGGAACCCCGAATACAGTATGATGAAAGACTACACATGTAGTGTACCGACAGATAAGTTTACACATTACATGGACACTTATTAAGTCACCGGACTGAATATATTGATTAGTTTTCAGTCTGTAGTTTGGCACTGACATTAAGATTGTGCAGCTCTTGATGAGAAATATAAAAATATTAACAACATGGCACTTTTATTCAACTGTAATCCTAAAAGGTTGTTTCTCTTTATAACCAAGTGCTATTAGTTCGACTACTTGCATATAGTAGCTTTTCACAAACAAACACCTAGAATTAAGTTTGTAGTGTTGGCTACACATTAAGGTTTCTAGTTTAACACAATTAAGGACAAATAACCTCACGTATCTTTCACTGTGGTGATATTTATATGTTATTGCATCATCAGACTGAAGCACTAAAAGGTCTGAAACCGTGCAGAGGTAAAGGTGATGAGACAGAAAACACGAGAAGCACAGTTTCTTTTAGCAAAATAAATGGAAAGTGGTGCCATCTGAAGCAAATATCTTTGTAAACATTAGTGTGATGGCAAAACATCTTAGTACCGTTGTCCCTGGCAGCTCTGTGGACCATTATTAAGATCAAAGAGAGAATAACGGATATGTCCATGATAATTATCCAGTATTTAAACATTTTCCTGCTTTTTAAAATGTTGCCCAATCTCACTCAGAAAACTCGTACACACGAAACAGGACAATCGGCGAGGATTTACACGTGGATTGTAAGAAGTCTTGACAAGATGTTGAAGAATAATAATAAAAAAAGATAAAACATCAGTGGTGAGCTCCTGAACAGCTGATGGATGGATGTTTGGAGGGAGGAAGAAGAAGTGGAGGTGTGCAGATGAGGATGATGTCATCCTGAATACCTGGACTCCTGGTGCATCTGCCAGGTGGCAGGGATGGATTCAGAGGAGGGCTAGTGTGTGTGTGTGTGTGTGTGTGTGCGTGTGTGTGTGTTGGGGGGCGGTTGGGATCACCATGCTTCCCTTCTGCTACGACTCTTTCACTCGTCCGATTTCATCTTCATCTGTGCCTGCATCTGAGCGATCATCTCCTGCATGCGTCTCAGCTTCAGAGAGAAGAAACATAAAATCACAATGATGTTTTTTTTATTCAAGTAAATCAAAAAGTTTTAATTTTCCTCATTAAATTAATCGACATATCTCAATTACACAGAGGAGTAAACTTTATATTAGTAGAGGAGAGATCTTTCCAGGGAGAAAATCACTGATATTTAGAATCACTCAGAAAAAAAAATAGAAGCATATCTGCTTAATTAAGTCTCTTTATAACCAGCAATTGATGATAATTTTAAGAGCTAATGTGTTTAAAAGTAAAACCGAAAGAAAACAGAAGATAGTAAATACGTATACAGTAACTTTGTTCCTGTTCTGTGAAAACCACGTCGCCAAAATTTCACCTCTCATGCAACAGCATTTTCCGATCCAGTGGGTTTATTTTTTACATTTTATCTTAAGAAATAGTAGAATTTTCTCCTGACATGATTCTTGTTCCTCCCTGCTGGTAAAATAGTTCACAAACTAGTTTTAGTCCTTCAACAGATAGAGTGAATATTGATTTACACTGGTCTAACTGATCAGGTCCTCAGGCTCTTAAAGGTTCAGTGTGCTTAAAAGTTGTATAACATGTCATCCAACCACAACCTGAATACAAACCACAATGACTGAACAAACTAAAACAAGAAGTACAATCTACAGAGAGACACTGGACACACAGTGGGTGACTGGCAGATGATCTCGAGTGCAAACACAACAAGGCAATGGATACTTACTTCACAGTGATTGCAATGGTCATTATTCAATCTAATGAGTTAATCAATAAGTTTTAATGTGTAATAATATAATGTATATTCATGTAAGCACAGCAGATGTAATAGCAGCTGAGGACAGTGTTTAAAAATGAATGAAACATAAAATCAATGTCAAACAATAAATGAATGTCGACAATGGGCCCATAAATAAATTAAGTCCTGAAGCTTTCTTTAACGTCTATCGCCATCTTGTGGCTGACAGTAGAAATGATTCATCAGACGTTTCTCTCACCAAAGCTATGCAGTCTTTTCTCTTTCTTCTGGTCATATGTGACCAGAATTAAATTACATTTATTTTTTGGCCTAACCCTGCATCCCTGTTATTCTTCATAGTTATTGAATTATATATGTATATATTGTATGTTTGTAATTTACATCTGCACAGGAAGACACATTTGCTGCTGTGCACTGACACAACTAATTCATTTTACACCGTCTCCATTTTCACTATAGTTGACCGAAAACTACTTAACCCTAAAGGAATAAAAGTTTACTCATCAGCTTCATCCGAGGAATTTATGAGGAAAGTAGGGAGCTGTAAAATAAAGTTAAAGTTACCTTTTCATGTGTAAGTCTCAGTATAGAAACATCATTTACTGTAATATTTCCTCCTATCCAAAACCCTGACAGCGCGTAAACAAACGGACCACTGTCTCTGCAGCTTTGTGTGTCGGGCTCTTCACATTACTGAGGTCATTCCCACCATAAAACTGGGCCAGGACATCCAGGCAGGAAGTGATCCTGCCTGGGCACATTGTTTACAAACAGCTTTGATTGCAGCCCACTACGCTGCACTGCAGCTGCAAAAACAGGCCAATCAAGAGCAATCAGGAAACAGGTTATAGCCCGATTACGTGCAGCCTCCATGGACCAAACGGTAAACAATACATATGGAAGATACTGCGGTGAAAATAAATAAGAGGTTTTTTTCTCTTTCTAAACTATAATGACACTGAAGAACTGACAGGTTTCCTGGTTCGACCCCGACGTCTTGTAGCTGTAATGCCGTATGTACAAAAAAAAGATGACAAGGCAGGTTTTTCTACACAGTCAGGGTGAGTCTACATTTAGTCTCCTCCACTACAGGCAGCACTCAGGGCACATGGTGATCAGGATCAGGGTCCTTGTGTGTTTTTAAAGGCTAGGCGTGTGTCTGACAATACAATACAATGTGCAACACACCCATATGTACACTGAAGGAGTGCTTAAGCTCTGGTGAAGCTAATATGAGGCTTCAGCAGTCTGTGTTAGTCAAATTAAATTGATACCTTTGTCGTGGTAATACACAGATACAGTTCATTACACAGGGATTGAAAGGACCAAACAGTACCAGTGGTTTATTATCTGCTTACACCTTCCATTAGAGCCCGTCACTTCCCAAAGCACGCTGCCATATTTCACCTTTCCAAATATTGAATATATTTTACCTTTTGTGAAGTGAATTGGAATTTTCGAGATTCTAAAACACACGTCCACATTTATAACTTAACTTAAATATATATATAAAAAATGTTTTATCCTGGGACTATTGTTTATGGTGGAGATCTACTTTTCCTGTGTTGTCAGTGTAAATTGTACTAAAACCAGGTGCAGATGTTTGTCTCTCTATGATGCATTAGCTAAGTATTGAATTAAGTTAATTTTGACTGTGTGCTAAAATGAACTGAAACCCATGGAAGACTGAAAACTTACAGCACTATTTGCATGAATTACTAAATGGTTGTCAGTAGTGTGAGTTGTAAGCACACCAGCCAAAGCACTGGTGTGGCCCTTTAAGTGCCATTTCCTCGTATAAAAAAAGTTAATTGTGTACTAAAAACACTGTAACTCAAACTGCTGAGGCTTCAGATTTGCTACAACTGAGTTTTTTTTTTGCACAGAACAATGGACGGACCGGAGATTTTATCCCCCATTTCCTACAGTAGAGCTGCACTGGGAAGTGGACATTTCACAGCCAGTAAGGAGAGGAGGAATAATTACAGCAACTAATAACTCTCATACATACATAGGCCATTTGAGTATTAAATCAAAATGAACTAAAAAAAAATCTGAACCTCTCTTTTTATCTGTTTTTGGAACCTGTATTTACAGCTATTACCTTGTTATTGGATCGACTGATTGATTCAAATTTTAGCACAAAGTGAGACAAGAAAAAGCGCGTTTGCTTGCAGTTGTGTGTATGTTCTTACCTCGGCCTCTTTCTGTAACAGGATCTGGTCCTTATCCATCTCTTCCTCATCCACAGCCCTGCAGAGGAACACAATGTTAGTTTAAAAAACTTGCTCGAAATAAATCAGCTCATCTGCTGCTGAGGTGATATAAACCAGTGTCTCACCTGCCCTCTCTCTTCAGTCTTTCAGAGCGGAAGTTCTCATAATGCAGATCCTGAGTCACCTCCTGGAGGTCTTGCATGTGGGTCCTGCAACAAACAGACATGCAATCCTTTTTTTCACACACTGGGAGGCAGCAGAGCTTCACTGCAAACCTTTTATTTAGTGGACTTTCAAAACCAGCTTAATGAGAAGGGAGTCAAGGTTTTAAAAGACTTTCCTTTTGAAAATGTTAATACTTAAAGGCGTTTTTATTGCCAGGGAGACTCACACAAGCATGGTGCGTAGTTTGAGGAAGTCATTGTGCTCGGGGTTCTCCACTTCGACAACTCCCCAGGGGTAGAGACGACCACGGATCTTCTTCCCCTTCACCTCAATCAGCTGGTTGGAGCCAATCACAGCAAAAGGGATGCTCGCCTGGGAAAGGAAGACAAAGGTCAGTGGGTCCCCTGAGAAAAAGTCAGTAGAAGGAGATATGGAAAATAAAGCTATCAGGGGAGACGGGATGAAGTGAAAGAGAATGGTATCTGTTGTGACAGACATCAGCTGTGAGTCCCTCTCTCACCTTCAGGACTCTGGTCTGTTCCTTGAACTCCTCGTCCTCGTCAGAGTCGGCGTCAGGTAGCTGATAAATTTTGATCCCGTGCTCCGCAATTTCATCCAGGATCTGACAGGTGGAAACAAGAGAAACACAGCATGAGCCGGCAGGACCGTGACCTCATCGTGACCTCCTGACATGTCCCACTGCACAGGGAAAACTGGACTCTTGAACCCTGCAGAGGTGTCACTGCAGACACTACCAGGGGGTCAGCGGGACTTTCTACTGTCAGTCTGTACTCAAACAGTCCAGAAACCAGAGATCATCATTTAAAGGCAGTAAAACAGTAAACTGTCACTAATACTAAGGATCATTTCCTTCACAATGTCTTCCAATAAAAAAATGTCTCCATTTGTAAAACTTTTTTTACCCTTATCATTTTGTATTCATGCAGAACTTTTGTGTAAAGTTGTTGCTCATAACGTAAATAGCGTAAAGTTAATTATCCATTTGTTCTTCTGCTTGTAGTTTACTTGTATTGCACTTCAATAAAAGTCTGACAATATAACCTGAAGCTAATCTCAATTAAAGCTACATCTCATTACTGCAAAAGTTGATTCCAGCATGACACAGACTTCTGTAATTTATATAAATACTAAATAACAGCTGCAGCTCTGACCCAAAAACAGAAAGTAAGAGAGCTCTATAGACTAATAGGAGGGTGTGAGTGAGTACTTGTTGTTGCAGCAACACATTTAATTAAAGCCCCCCGTGGAGGAAAAGAGGGGTGAGACAGAAAGGGTAGACAGGTGAAAAATAATAATGGTCTGTGTGTGTATTTAAGTCCTGAAACAAAGTTCTCACCCTCCTTTCTTCACGACCGGTGGAGAAACAAGTTAAAACAAAGAAGCTTTCTTCTCTGCTACCTCAGGGACAGATGTCAGTATTTATTATTCCAAACATCAAAGCTGCATTTGTCTTTTGTTTTCCAGAGAGCAGATTTTTTAAATCCACAATGTAGTCTTATGTAATGGAGCCAAAAAATGTCAAGTGTTGTTTCCTGACTTTTTGGTGACTTTCATGTACTGTATAACAGGACAGTGGTCAGTCAGCCAGGAGCCTGGGAAGTGAGCACAGGTTTTCCTACTGAGCGCAACTCCTGTTTGAGCCGTTGTTATGGCTGACGCTTGTTTTCTCAGTGAGCTCTGTGCGCAGTGTGTGCGAGAGATAGTGTGTGTGCGAGGAGAGTCGGGTATTGTTGTGGGGCAGATCTAAAAACAAACAAGGCTTTGCAGGACTCAGAGGAGAGCGTGACATAGGACCAGAGCCTCTTTTTCCTCCATTTACTCAC